CTTCCTTCCTTCCTTCCTTCCTTCCTTCCTTCTCCTCCTCCTCCTCCTTTCTTCTCCTCCTCGTGTGTGTATACGTATGTACTTGTGGATGTTGTTATACATGGGTATGTATACGTGTCAGTGTATAGATATATATGTGTTTGTATGTATGTATTTGTGGGTGTGTGCATAGATGTGTGCACACATGCCCGTGTCAGTGTGTGTCATATGTGCGCATGTACACCTGTGTGCATGTATGTTTATATCAGGCTAGCGGCTTAAGAAGACAAGCATATTATGGGAGCTGCACATGGTTGAGAAATGCAGATGTTGCCAGGGTTATAAACAAACACAGAAACCGTTGTCAGTGTTGAACATTAATCAGTAAACTGTTCCTTCGCCACAGACAGGATTAACACCGACTGATTCCTCTCTAGTACGGCCACGTGGCTCACCACATTCTGTCGCAACTCCGGGGGCTTTGTTGGCGGGGGCTGCAGAGGCCCCCCACCCACCCCCCTGCAAAATTCTCTTAACCCGCCAGATGGTCCTCCAAACAGCGCCACTAAAAATAACTACGTTCCCTTCACTGGGACGGCACCGCTTTTGACAACTACGACTAGTTATTTGCCTGTGTATATTTTTTCCTTTTCTCAAAGAAAGACACTCCCACCGTGGGGGTGTGTGTCTTTCCCTAGTTTTATTCTCACAATGACAACCCTGCAGTTGGGATGAGAGGAGGGGATTCATTCAAAGTCCCCGGGATCTTCCGGGTGCAACGCCAACATCTTAACTGGTCTGCTAATCCGGCCCAGATGTTGATGGTTCTTCATTCCACTTCCTTTAAAAAATCTTGAAAGTGCAACTCACCTTCGCTTGCTTGATTTCAATTGCTTTCACTCTCTTTTTCCTTTCCTCTCCTATCCTACAGGTGTAAGGGGTGGGGGGAGTTACAACCTCCCTTGAGCATCTGGTTCTTCACTCAGGCCTTTGGCGAGGAAGAGTGAGACCCCTCGCTTCATCCCATCCAGTCTGTTGCAGGTGGCATCTTTTATCTTTATCTTTTCTTGATTTTATTGTCATTTCTTTGTTGGATTGGCACGAGCCGCTCAATCATTGAGGGTTGGGCGGCATACAAGTTTAATAAATCATCATCATCTGGTCTGGAGATACTTGATAAATGCTCAATGTCACACTAAGAGCACAGTGACAGATATAAGCCAGCTCCCTCGAAAAGCATCAATATAACCAGCTTCTTTGACGATGCGGCTGGGCCCCAAAACCCAGAAAAGGATTCTTGTCTATTTCACATCAGCTTAACTCTTCTCATTCCACACCAACCAGGACCAAATTTCCTTCTTTGGCATCATTCTTGGGCTTTGAAAATGCCCCGTCTGCATGTTCTCGTCTGCTCAGCAGGAGGACTGGTCGGCAACTAGCCACCCTTCCCTGGGAAAGATGTCCCCAGCCTGGCCTTCCAAAGGTAACCTGTAGGGCAGGTTTCTCAAGCCCCACACAGGACATTGAAGTCCCATAAAATGCAGAACTCAGAATCTAAAAGGATTGAGGCACCCTTCAACCCCTCTAACTTGTTTGCACTCTTACACACCCACCCTTTCCCTCTCTGGCTGCTTCCTGCTGACCCCGACACTCATCTTGAGTGTCAGAAGTTAATCTCTGCAAGCAAATGCTCCTTGCCTCATCTTACCTGCCCGTGGACATAGCAGATCCTGCAGGTAAGAATATCCAGAATATTCTGGTCCCACATTCACGATCGCAGCAACCAAAAAACTCAACAGCGAAAGGAAGTGTGTGCAAAGCGTAGTGAGAGATCAACGCTGTAAAAAGCTGTTAGCTTTTTCTGGGTATAAAAGGAACTTGTTCTAAACCTTTTATCACTTTCATTTTTACTAATGAGTAAAACTGCAAGTAGCTGTTTCTAGTATGCCAAACCTGAAAAGAAACTTATATCCCCCATGAATGATTAATTCAACAATAGAACGTGCTGTAGGACATAACTGTGAACTGAATTTGCTTTATTTATTTTAGCAGTCTATCATATTTTTATGCAATTGTTTCCCTTTCTCTCCCCATCTTTTTTCCTTTAATGTTATGCTTGTTTTGAATAAGAGCCAGAATGCAAGGATAAAGGTATTTCTTATCTTTACATACTGTTTAGGGAGCTTTACATTGATGAAGAGAGTTTACAAGGCTTGAAACAGATACATTTCTGAGCTGAAGGCTGTCAATATGTGCTGTGGCCCCTCTCTCATTTCTGCCATAAAAGGGGGAAAAGGATTCTTGAAAACTCTGGGTTCCTTTGTGTGAGAGGAGGAGAGATCTGGGTAGACATTGTGCCATTTATTATGAACTTCAGCCAGGGCTCCAAAAGATTCATAAGGAAAGAACTTGTGACTTCAGCCTACTTGCCAAACTCAAAGATGCTGATCCGATCTTTATCCAGGACAAAAAACAGTTGAAACAGGTTCAGTTCCTCCAAAACAGAGCTACAAAATCACTTGCAGTAGGACCTGCCAATGCTGTCATGAGATGGCCAAGGTTTGGACAGACGCTGGAAAGTGTGTAGGGGGAGGCCTGTAGAACATCTGTAGAACATCTGTTTGAAGAAGACGATGGTGTGAACCATCAGAGATGGAGGGAAGAAGGCAACATGGTTCCTCAAACGTCATTAAATGTAGCCAACATAGGAAGAGACAGTAGAATACAAGCATGGGAGATTTAAACATCTGGAAGACAAGGTCTTCCATCACCTATGGATATAGACAGACAGACAGACAGAGTTGCATGGATGGTTAGCTGGCTGGCTAGCTTAGCGATAGGTAGGTTGGTAGATAAACGGGTAATTGATAGATGATAAACAGATGATAATAGATAAGTGAGAGAAAGATTGATAGATGATAGGTACGTAGGTAGATACATAACAGACAAGTGATTGATAGATGAATAGGTAAAAATAAATAATATATTGATGACAATGACAAAAGGATGATAGAGACAGGACAGACGGATAAAGAGAGAGAGAAACGATAGATCATGAACGTGTGTGTGTGTGTGCGTACAGAGAGAAAGAGAAAGAATATACAAACACATATACACATACCTGTATATGCTCTGTTACTTACCTGCCTATCTTATCTGGTGTGTGTGTGTGTGTGTGAGTATCTGTGGGTATGTATGGGTGTGTGCATGGGTGTGTGTACATGTGTATATCTGTGTGTGTGTGTAGATAGATAATAGACAAAAGATATATATATAGAGAGAGAGAGAGAGAGGAGAGAGATAAAAGAGAGAGATTGTGATGACAGATAATAGAGAGATGAGAGAGAGAGAGATGGAGGGAAGGACAATAGACAGACAGACAGAAAAGCCTTGGAAAATCGGCTTGAGAAGAGGAGAAGCGGCTGGAGGAAGCAGCAGCACGCCGGGGCGGAGGATGGAGGCCCCCGAAGCCTCCAACGATTCTTCTAAATCCCGAGCTGGGTCACCTGGTTGCCGTGGCAACGCCAAGCGCTTTGGGCTCATCGCCAGCCGAGGCCTCCTCCCCTGGCGATGGAGGAACGGGGGGGGGGAATGGGGAGGCGGGGCCGGGCCGGGCCGGAGGTCCCGGGAGGGAGGAAGGAGCCCCCCAGCTCTGCCCCTCTGCTCTCGCGGCCTCCCGCGGGCGGTGGAGAGACGGCCCGACGAGCCGCTTCCTGGTCCCGTCTCCCCCCTCCAGACAGGCCAGACCGAAACAGAGGCGGAAACAAGGCGGGGGGGCAAGCAAGCCCCCCCTTCCACCCCTTTTGAACAGTCAGTCGCGGCCCAGATGTGGAAACCCAAATACTGTCATTGTCATTGTTATTGCTCCTCCGACTGTCATTGCCATCATTGTTATTGCTGCTATTGCTATTACTGCTGCTATTGCTATCATTATTGTTACTATTGTGGCTATGATTATTCCTTTTGTTAGGGTTTGCTATTGTTATTGCTATTATTGTTCCGGTTGTTAGGGTTTGCTATTGCTATTGTTGCTGTTCTTGCCCTTGTTATGGGTATTGTCATGATTGTTGCTATTGCTATTATTGTTACCTTTATGGTTCCTGTTGTCGCTGTTGTCACTAACGTCGTTATTGTTATTATTCCTATTATTATTATTGTTGCTACTGTTGCTGTTGTTTCTGGTGTCCTTATTGGCATTGCTATTGCTATCATTATTGTTGCTATTGCTATTATTGTTACTGTTGTTGTTCCTATTGTTATTGTCGCTGTTGTCACTAACGTCGTTACCGCTGTTATTGTTCCTATTATTGTTGTTGCTATTGTCGCGGTTGTTACTGGTGTCCTTATTAGTATTGTTATTGCTACTATCATTATTGCTATTGTTCTTTTTCTTACTCTTGGGCAGCTTGTGAAACCCGACGGCCTGTTACTCCATCAGATAATCGTTCAGCAGGCTATGGATCTGGAGCTAGGAGCAAACCCCATTACTATTTCTATCCCTTATTATGATGATTATCATCATCATCGCCGCTATTATTATTAGACATTGATTCATAACACCCAGCCACGTTATTCTTCCAAGCAGGCAAATAATCTGAACACCCTAATCTCAGATGTCATCAGACTGATTATTAACAGCAGGAGCATTACCGCGAACCGTAGCCGTACCACAACAACACAGATAATAATACTCCCCAAATGAAAAACAGCCCTAACGATAAAGCAGTGGAATCGTTCTGAAAAAGAGCATCGCTAAACGGCAGACCCGCAGAAGCCCATTAAACATGCTCAAGGAGCATCTTCTCATTTCCCTAATTACAGGTGGCACGAACAATAGGCTTTGCGTAGCCGTGACTAGTTGTTTTCACTCCACAGAGCTGAACTCCGGGTAGCGTTTCCGTGCGGTTAAGCAAGTCTGCTGAACTAGGTCACTTTTATTTGAACAGCAGCAGCAACCACCCAAAAAACCTGATCAAATTTCCTGGGCTGGCCTGCTGCGGGCCGCTAGAGATCGAGATGGTCAGCAGCCCTTCGGGGAGCAAAGCGCGGCCAGAAGGGATTTAAATTTGGGGGGGGGGGAAAAGAGTTGGGCGCTATACTATTTATTTATTTAATTAATTTGGGTTTTGGGGGTGCCGCCTGACTCTAGAGCAACTCTGGGAGAGCTATGCTATGAGAAAACGAGGTTTAAAAAAATACAGCGGACAATAAGTGATGCACGAGGTGGAAAGTCGGGCCAAACAGCACAGAAAACACACACGAAGCAGAATTAACAGGCAGCTCCCTCCATTCTAGCCCAAGGCGACTTCCTACATCTTTTTTTCCAATGTACCCAATCTGTACTTTCCCAAACTTAGTCCTGAACTGGCTGCCAGGTACGTACCAAAACGAGCATTTTTCCAAACGTGATGATGCGGTCTGCAGCATTAAAATGCGCCTACCAAAATGCACAACAGTACACAGGAAACGTACATCACAAAGAGCCCCAAGTCAAAAGGGCATGCCTTCGAAGTGCAAACATGGAATATAGTGTAATAAGATCAAAAACTTGCAAACTCTTCGCAAAAGTACAGAACGCACGCAGTTTCAAGCAGACATTTTATAAACTGACGAAGAAAGAGGCTGAAATTAACTTTACGCTGGAGGGGGGAAAAATGCAGTAAAACCGTACTGACTTTGGCCACAATTGCACAAGGAACATCATCTGAATTCTTTCAGCAACAGAGAAGCTGCTCCCTCGATTCCCCTTTTATTTAGGGTTCTTGCTGCATTTCCACAATTTGATTGGCTACGTGATACAACCATCCTTGATTATGTAAACCCTGATTGGAAAGATTTTGCATTACCCACAATGGAAGAATGGTTGGTGAAGATGATGGAACTTGCAGAGATGGCTAAACTGACTTCTTTGATCAGAGAAAAGACCATCTCTACGTTTATGGCTGACTGGAAACTCTTCATGGATTTTTTTGCATAAAACACACAGAAAATGAACGTATGATTTTGATGATAAGACGGGATAGGTTATAGAAAGGAGAGAGTTATGTCATAACCAGACGTAAGAAGTAAATTTATAATTGTACTTAGAACTTCCTATCTTCTTTACAGCAGTTTTAAGTACAATACTACTTCTTTGTATCTTTTTTCTTCCTGTTCTATTTTTCTTTTACTTTTTTTCCCTTTCTTGCACTTTAAGCTTTCTCTCTAATTTCTTTCTTTTCTTTTCTTTTTCTTGCTTTATATTAGTTTGGATTAATTTTTATCTTCTTTTTTAAAAATCACACACACACACATATATATATATATATATATACACAGTGTACACACACACACACACACACACATATATATATATATATATATACACAGTGTACACACACACACACACACA